GATTTGTTGAGCCGCAGGTGGGATAGAATAAATGGAGCTCAGGCCCTTAAACTTCTACCGAAAGAGACAAAATTACAGGTATCCATTTCTTGTTGGTGCACCATAGTCGAGAAACACACATCAAAAGTGTTTTACTGATCTATATTTTGCTGTTACTTGTTTTGTTCTTTTGGGAGGTTTATTTTGCCAAACATTCATTAGTTTCTTCAATCTGGTTGGTATAAGAAATATATTATAATCTGCAGGACCTGCTCTCATTTCTTGGACCCCTTTTGAAAAAATCAAGTGAAATGTACCGAAACTGTTCGGTGATCAAGAGCTTGAGACAAAGTGAGAACCTTCAGGTAAGCATATACCAGGAATAAAATTTCATCTATTAATATTTTAGGGGGACTTGTAGGATAGGAGGCTGTGGTGGGGACTTACTAATTTTTTGCTTTTGGATGGATATGTTATGCAACATCATTATCTCGTACCCTCTAGTAATTGTACTGTAGTCTATTCAGATATAGACCAGAGCAAATGAGCAACACTCTGTTGCATATTCAGATACTTCTGCTTTGTTAATAGCAAGTGGCATGATTTACTTTGTTTCATACAGGTGAAAGATGAACTGTACAGTCAGAGGAAAACGGTAGTCAAGATAACCGGAGATAGCATGTGCTCTCTGTGCCATAAGAAAATAGGGACTAGTGTTTTTGCTGTCTACCCAAATGGTAGCACTCTCGTGCACTTTGTCTGTTTCAGAGATTCTCAAAATATGAAAGTGATTGGCAAAGGGTCTCAATTGAAGAAGCGATTATGAAACTGCTGGCTATATCAATTGGTGCTCCGGTTGTGTTGTTTGAGTGTGCTTTTACACATGGAACCTGCTGATTGGTGGATTATGATGATCACTGTAATTTGCCCTTCAAAGGACCCTTTTTTTGGCGTCAATTTGTGTGGAAAGTGAGATTTGATATTTTGAAGATCCTCCTATCCTAAAGTGAGATCTAGAAATTGTGAAATTGCGTAGGTGAATGCTTATCTTTTTTTCTTCAGTTGTAATGTAAATATTGAGTTAGAGGATTTATTTTGAGCATTGAAAGGGAGTAGATTTCCTCCCTCACGTGTTATATTGTCCTCACCAAAATGTGAAAGTCAAATTTGAGTATTTATTACTATTAACAATGCGGTGATAGCTCGTATATACGTTGAAAATAACTGCTATCACCAAGGATTGATGGAGAGTAATCTTAGTCATATAAAAAGTCGAGAACTATCGCAAAACCCGCCTCAAGTAAAATTGTACTTCAAGAAATTACGTGATTAGCTCAAATTCTTTCGGCTTATATTATAATAGATTTTTCTTGAGTATTTGACAATATGTTTTTTTTATTCAAATTTGATACCTAATAAATTATAAAATTTTGGTTTAAGTTTTTTTCAGAAAAGTAATTTATATTTTATTTTTTAAATATTTTACATTTTTCTTTTGGTTCTTTAATCTATTTTCTAGTATGATAATCTATATATTTTTCAATATACAAAATATTCTTATTACATGTAGAAAAAAGTTAGTGTTTTATCATTCTATATTACTTATTATGATATATTTAAATATTATGTATAAAATTGTTTGATGTAGTTTCTTATATATTGTTTATATGATATAATTTTTATATGATATAAAGGGGGAGATTAATTCGAAGATGACATAATAGAGTGGTCCACTTTCTTTCTATTCTTACTTGATCTCAATTCTATTGTAATTATTATAATATTATCACTTTTTTTTATTGTATTTGCTATTACTCTCTTCACTTTTACTATTATTGTTATCATTGTTGTCAGTATAATTTTTATCATAATAATCATTCATTTTATTTTATGTTGTCATAATAGTCACCAACAATGTTAGCACAACAACATTAGTATATCATTAATATTGTTACCAAAATTTTTTGTTATCACTTTCACATGATGACAACATTGTTATTATCATTATTTTTTTTATTAATATTAACGTGCTGTCTTCATTGCAGCAACAATTTATTATTTTTATTTTAGTTGTCATACAGTGTTTTTATCATTAGATATTACTATCTTGTTATTATGTGGTTATCATTGTTACTATTTTATCAATTTTCTTTTCGCTTCACTTGTTTACCAGTATAGTAATGCATTTCTCCTTAATCAATCTTATAAATAATATTTCTTCTAATTCACCTTTTAATAAAAATACTAATTATTATGAGTAAGATAAGAAAGAGAACTAATACAAAATTTTCATAATTTTTATTCCCAAGGTGATATTTATAGCGTATAATGGATAAGTAATTATAACTAAAATTATGTCAAAAAGAGAAATTTTCAAAAACAGTTATAGTAGCAAAATATAAAGCAGTCATAATCTTATATTTTGTATTTTCTTTTTCGATGATTAAGGTTAACCAACTAAAAATGGTCTTCTGGAAAAACTATGAATCAAACGGAAAATAATAATATATTAAGACAAAATTTAAAAAGTTCTTATCTAATTACGAATCCTTTAAAAAGTAAAGGCTAAATGGTATGAGGATAGATAATTTAAGAGCTTTATAATGATATCAGCAGGTCCCATAGTCTAGTGGTTAGGACATTGGACTCTGAATCCAGTAGCCCGAGTTCAAATCTCGGTGGGACCTAAATTTTTTTTTTTCCCAAACAGTTGACTTTTATCTATGTTATTAATAACTTCCAATTTCTTATTGTTATTATTTATTAATAAAATACATACTCAAGATATTTGATAAACACAAATAAAAAATTAATATTATATCAAATTTATAAAATAAATTATTTCTTCTACTTCTCATTATAAGTTATATTCTAAAAGAAATTGATTATCATTTTATAAAATATTTTATAATTATTCTAAAGCATTACTTTTTTTTCTTTATCTACTCTTACTAATCTTGTGGGTATTTTTAACTAATAAATAATAAGAAGATAATTTTAAAAATGGTTAATAATAAAGATAAATTTGGTGGTACACTGCCAATATTATTTTGGAAGTTCAGCAAAATGAAACAAATTAATTATTGCCTATGAAAATATCATACATAAGTTTCACTTATGATAAACATTAACCTCATTAAATGAGTGAGTACTACTGAGTAATGGCTTTATAATTTTTTTATAAGTGATAGAAAAATTATTAAAAAAATATACAAATTGCACTAAAGATAATATATATATATATATATATATATATATATATATATATATAGACTTAAAATTTAATCATATTAAAATACATATTGACTTACATAAAACAAAAAATTTAACTAATAACAATTTTAGCACCCTATATATGACTTATGAAATTTTATCAATTTCAAATCAAACCAATACTTTTAACTCGCATAAGAAAGAATAATTTTTCTACAAAGCTAAACTATTCACAAACATGAATGTTATTGTTAAAATAAAGTGTAAGAGAAATGTATACATTCACCTACATGCTAATATACTTTATAGATGCATATTTTATTATTAGTTAAACTTTATTACAAATTATAAAAAAACTTATTAAACAAGAAGAAAACTCATAAAATATATAGTTTATATAGACAAATTTTTACTAATAATAAAAATACCTTAAAAATATATCATCAACATTTTTTAAATTAGAAAAGAACTCGTTTAGGGTTTTGCCCTTTTTTTGAAGTAGAAAGGGTTATTTGAAACAAACAAATTTATAAATCAATAGCAAACTTTCACATTTTAAAAGTGTATCTTTAATTTTAGTTTAATTTAAAACAACTTAGTTTAATTTAAAACAACTTATGAAGTCAATCCAGTGTTTATAATTTATTTTTCAAGCTAAAATCACTTTAAATATTTTCTATATTCAAAATACAGACACCAAACTTAAAATAAATATACAAGAATTGGTAAGAGATTTACGTGGAATATAAAATATTATTTCAATTTTATTGTGGAATATAAAATATTTTTTCAATTTTATTGTGGAATATAAAAGATTTTTTAAATTTTATTATCGCTATTCTTAGAAGAAGCATAAAGAGACGCGTGTCCTCCCACAGGAAGATGTAGCATGTGGAATTTATAATATTAAATTGTGATGAAGGAACGTTGTGGTACCTAATACATTATTAAGAACATTTATAAAATATAAATGCAATGTACTATGTGGAGTACTGTTACGTAATCCATGTGTTGCTGCTTTTGGGTCCTATCTTTTCTCTTCATTCCCAAACAAATTGCTGGAAAGACTAACGTCTATTTATCACTAACATCTAAATTTCGTTCTTTAGTTAATTCTTTTTATAAAAATATATATTTCTAGGAGTGCATTGCGATGATATAAAGTTCTTAGAAGTAAAATAAAAAACCTTAATTACCGTTATCGAAGAGGAGGTTCATCGAAAAGATACAAACATTAATGACACCACTTTCCATCCAAAGCCTTAAGACAAAGAATTAACGAGTTTTTCATCTTTATATAATGTTTTACTTTCTCATTTTCATTTAACATGAGACTTTGACTCACACTTGAATTTTTAAATGACGTTGTAATATATGACAATGATATAATAATCAAAACGTGAGTTACCAGTGTGATCGGTAGAAAAATAAACATTGAAATTTACTTGAAGAGTGATATCATTTGAGAAAAAGATATTTGAGTAATGAAGCTAAAAAATACAATGAGACAATAGGTTTTCTTTTGATAAAGATAACACTATCATAATAGGGTTTGCATAACAACTAAAATAGCTTCTATCATCTGCCATTACTTGAACTAAAATTCGAACAATGCATATAAGTTCACTATGTTCATCTATTTAAATTATTGTCTAGTATTTGAAATATCACATGTACTAAACCAGTAGAACAAACATGGAATACTGGGTCCAAAATCCTTATTTAACTTTCAGCCGTTCAGGACAAACACTAGAATACTTGAAAAGGAAGCAACTGATTAATCTTCAGGACTTAAATCCTTTCATTAATCTTCCCGCTGCAAAATGATCATATTATATAAACACAGTATTAATAGCTCGTACTTTTGTTTGACCTCTCAAAACTTTCCATATATAGTTTAAAAGACGCACCAATTACTAGTTTTGCAGTGTCATTTCTTGAATCGAGTGTCCTCTTATAATATTCACTTCAACAACTTCCTACTTCATTGTGTTTCCCACCAGTCTTCTACAGTTCCATCCATTGTTTTCTCACTCATTTACGCCCCCTTTTGCAGTCAAAGATTCTTCCTAATTTAGTGACTAGTTGTCCAAAGGATTTTCACTTTCTTCACCTCTGATTTTTGTAGCCATGACATCAAAAACACTTTCTTCTCCAAACACCAGTCTAAGATGGACACCCCAGAAGAACAAACTGTTTGAAAATGCCTTGGCAATATATGATAAGGACACCCCTGACCGTTGGAACAACATAGCTATGTTTGTTGGAGAAACAGAAGCTGAAGTCAAGAGGCAATATGAGATGCTCCTTGAGGACATAAAAAGCATTGAGTCAGGCAAAGTTCCCCTCCCTGCTTACAGGAGAAATGCTGGATGTACCAAAGTAAGCATCAGCAATGCAGAGCAAAGGTAACATATGTTGTTCCCTCGTTAGCATTATTGTGGAAACAAATTTATGATTCCACCAAAAGTAGAGTTGTTCCTCTCTCTCGATGTATGAAACTATCAGTTTCCAATAAGTATGACTTCACTGATTTATGTTATACCACAGTTTTCAAATCACGATTCCCCTAAAGGAAAGTGATCAATGGCTATTATCCACTACCTGACTAGTATGGCCTGATGTTGATCCTCGTATCCCATGAGAATAATATTTTTTACAATAATTATTGACTACAAAATGCAGGACAATTAGGAAAAGTTGTTTGCCTACCCCCACCACAAAAACTGTGCGAACGAGTGATGCATTTAGTTTGAATGCGAATAATACCAGTCAATTCACTCTCTTAGTCTCATGCATATCGTTAGAGATATAGATCAATTTCAAGATAACTCTTTTGGTAAATATTTGTAGAAGAATAAAAGACAATTAGTTTATATACAAATTAAAATCAATTTTGAAGAAACTAAATAAGATACTTTTATGAATTAAGTCTTTAACTTCCAAAAAAATTAGTTTATTTGACCTCTTTAGTTTCTTTTTCATATAAATGTCTAATTTGGTATTGAAATTTTTGTAAAACGAAGATAATAATATTCGTAGGTACCAGTTTATAAATTCATAATGAAACTCTAGAAAGATAGTGCGACAGAGTCTTCACCCCTTATCATATATACTTTTAACTGGATTAAGTACCTGACCTTAAGAGGGACGGGGAAGTGGAGGATCACAAGATAATAAATCCACTGCAGTACGCTAATTGAACTTTTTTGACAAAAATTATGTACAGGATGAGGGATTTAAAACTATGAAGAATGGACACCATTTTTCGGGAAGTCATTTTAGCATTGCTCTTCATTACCTCTGTTTTCTCCTTAGAACTGGGTGCTGTAAATTTCTTCCATGCTTAGCATTCACCATGATACCTCTTTTTATATAAGAACAGATGAAAGGCCTTGCTGCAACTTCTTATTTTGGAAATTGAGCATTAATAGTTAACTAATCCTATGAGGACTAAAGCAGGTGCGGAATATCAAATAAACAAGAGAATTTAATGTTGACTTCAATATGCTCAGAGTTATAAATTCTACAATCACATGCAACAATAAAGCAAGCTCCTACACAACTATATTGGCTATGATTAGAAAATAAAATATTTTTTTTTCAATAAACTAAATTTAAATCATATCTTAGATAAATTAATATAAGAAAGCTTCTACAATTTATCTATTGTATGTGGGTTTAAGTAGTTAAAAAATTACCAAACGACTTGGCAGTGAAACATAGAGCATCACATCACATATATATTATTCGTGTATCAAGCAAAAGAATGCATTGTATAAGGCCACGGATGTCTTATAAACTCTCTTATCACTCTACTGATGATGAGTCAAGAAAGCCTTCTAGTTTTTTGTAGATGACTGGAGGGTTACAGAGTCTCCTTCACTTGTGCTGCGGCCATTTTTCCCAAAAAAGTTTGATGCATCTAATATCTGTTTCAAACAAATTATAATTTATCACTTACCACAAAGCAGACATCACAAAAAAAGACCTTATAAGATGCATAAATCTTCAGTAGAAATTAACCTTTTGAATTGTATTTCTCAAGCACGTTTTGTGTTCGTCTGCGGAAGCATGCATAAACTCATGAAAGTGATTTCTTAAATTGGACACGAAGCTTCCATTGCGAGACTTCTTTCTTTGGCAAAATGAGAATCTTGGTGCTGATTTGACTGGTTGTTGCTCATCAGTCTGCTTGTTGTTGGAATCCATTCTAGCCAGCACCTACCATCATTATGTATCTTGCTTTAAAACTGATATTCAAAGGAACTCACTTCCTTTAAATTTCCTTTAAATTTTATATAACTCAACAGCTAACACATGCTTGTTCTGAAGATTAATTATAAAGCTTGACCATTATGAGAAAATTATAACAAAAATTACTGAAAGAGGTAAAGTTCATTACAATAAAATGATTTGATAGATAAATGTTGAAGTTTGGAGCTAAATTTGTTTGTGTGTACATATTCATGCACCCCATACACTCCTTCCTAAAATTAAAATTTACATCTGAATTTGATGGGATACAATTTAAATTACATTGACAAAGATTAAAGTTAGGTAATGCAGGAGCAGATAGAGACAGCTGTAAAAAAAGTTTACATCGACGTAATTTGTGCTCACGGAGATATTGCACTAAGCCCATCAAACATCTACCAAACATTCATAAGAAGAAAAAAAGTAACTATTGGAATCGCTGGTTGGTTGCAAGGAGCATCTAATTAAAACAAGAGATGGACATAAGTTTATATACACATAAGATACCTCCATTGATAAAAAACCTTTTGGAATGATACCAAAAGTAAATCCAGGAGAGTTTGGCCCAGAACAGACAATATCTTCTTACCAATGTGAAGATTTGTGTGTGTTGTCCCTCCCTACAATTGGTATCAGAACCGATGGTTCAGGTTTGAAGACCAAAGATAAAGTGAAGCCCTAACAGGTGACCAGATATATCATGGGAGGTAGCAAGAGATAAAAATAAAATTCACCTCTAGGCCTCTAGAGGAGGTGAAGAACAAATAAAGTCTCACATAGGATAAAACATGAGTTTATATACACATAAGATACTCCATTGGTAAGGTCTTTTGGAGTGGTACCAAAAACAAATCCGTGAGGACTTGGCCGAAGGATTGTTAACTATTGTTTTGCTTGCTTTGGTTTGGGTTCTTGATACCGGGTGAGAGCTCTCGATTTTTTGGTATAACTTCTTAGCTGACATTTGGGTGAACTCAAACTTACCAATTGGTTCATCCCTCGAGTGTGGGTCACATGCAAGCTTGATCTCTGACCTGCTTGTTATTAGCCTGATTGATCCTTGGGGATTTCCTTTTAACTTGTACACAAACTTTTCAACCAGATTATGCTTCACCAGAAGTCTAGGGATAGGTTGAAGTGCTACTTTTCCTATCTTCAGATAATGGCCCAGCACTGAATAGAGCACACACAATCCTTATTAACCTTCTCTAGGGCAACTACAGATTGTCAAAGCCAACCATCACAGTCTTTAAATCTGCTAGAGTATAGGCATCCCGGCTAATTATGAGTTGAGCCAGCTTCTCTAACAATGGAATCCATCCATCCGATAATTGAAAACTCATCATACTGCTCAAAGAACTTATCAAGGTCTATCATGTTTCTATTCCTAGCCTTCGCCTTAACCAATGAACCACAGAAGACAAACTAACGAGTTTTCTGCTATGGATAAAGGGTTTGAGACTGACGGAACAGAAATGCTAGACTACAAGCAAGTTTCAGGTGAGGTGATGCAATCAGTAATTAACAGGGTTATCCCTGAGGACCTTCTTCCTGGTAATGTAGGACCAATTCTAGGAGCTGAGATCGCAGTACATGCACCACCAGTGGTTGCTCCGCCATCGGTTGGTTCCGCATCAAGGACAGAAGGCACAGTGAGTCGAATAAAGCCTCTACATGAGGACGAGCAAGATGCAACCAGTAAGATGAAGGGAAAGAAGAGAATGCTAACGGAGGATGAGGTCTCTGAAACCTCAGCTGGAGAGACGTTAGGACCAATCAATGTTCGGCAGACGCTGTAGTAGATGAGAGTGAGGCCATGTTATCATCATGGAGAGTCTGTTACCAGACTGGGCCGTGGGCTGCATCACGTGTCCTGACCAGCTGCGTCCAACCCCCAAAGCCATCTTCCAGGATCCTCTAGAGTATAATCGATTTTATCAGCTGAGAGTTCATCATTGGTTTCCCCTAATGTCTTGCATTGATTTGAGACGGCTCAACCCTAAAGAAGATGACTTCACAGTGTCAACTCAGTATGGCACAATCTCTCTGGGCCCTTATGACCAGATAATTCTGAGGGTGTTGGGCTATTACTATTCCACTATGCCTTTCATTGGGTTCTCTCTGGCTGCATTCCAGTTTCTGCACGGTATCATTTTGTTGAAGCAAGGGAATAGGAAGTTCTTTGGATAGACAAGCTGGCTCCGCTCCTAATTAGCCGGGATGCCTATATTGTAACAGATGTATAATGTTGGCTCTGAGGGGAAAAAGTCAATGGTTGCCCTATTCAGGTGTGCTCTATTCAGGTGGGCCATTATTTGAAGATAGGAAAAGTAGCACTTGGCCTATTCCTACACTGGTGATGCATAATCTGTTGAAAAATTTCTATACAAACTAACAAGAAATCCTCAAGAATCAGCCGAACTGATAACAAGCAAATCAGAGATTATGCTTGCATATGACTCACGAGATGAACTGATTGCTAGGTTTGAGTTCACCCTAATATTATAGCTTAAAAAAATAGACCAAAAAACAGAGAGTTCTGACCCAGTTAACAGCAAAAAATACCAAAGACAACTTACTTTGCTTTTGCGCGAAGGAAAACGAAGAGCAATGAACGATGGGTGAAACAATAGAAATGGTCTCGTTTCGGGAAAAACACCAACCGCATCACATTCGAGATTTCCGGTGAGTTCAAGACTGTACGGCGCCTTCTTAATTAACAGTCAAAAGCCCACTATTTCTATTTGTTTATATTTTTCAAATTCTAGTAAAATATTTTTTTTTCAAATATCGATAATTATATCTAAAGGAATCAATTTTTTACGTATACATTTTTTATAATTTTATTCTTTAATTTTTTATTTTAAATTAAAATAATTACATTTCTATTTCTATCTTTTAAATAACTGTTAATTTAAATTTAATTATTATTTAAATTAAAATAATTATTGTACTATTTTATCTTGTAAATTATAAATTATTTAAATCCAGTTAATTTTTTAAAATTAAATTAATTATCTACACTAAAAAAGAAACATGCATTTCCCCTAGTGATATATAAAATCAATATACTCAGTTGATATTAGAAATAAGCATTAAATATATATGTATTTTTTTTTAAAGCTAGTCCATTTTCTTTAATAAACAATTTAGTTCTCAAACTTTTAAGAGTATACGTATTTAATCTTCTCATCTTTGTATTGACGATTTTAACTATGAAAAATGCCATTAAATGTTCAATTTAAGTATTGAAAAGAATAATTATATATATGTAAATTTAATTTTTTTCAATAAACTCTGGATATTAAAATAGTTACTAAATATTAAATTTCAGTATTTAAAAAATTAAAAGACACATTTTTCCAAAGTTGTAGATGAGTTCATCAAGTATATATAAAGATAAAAAAACAAGTTTAAAAAAAGTTGTGAAAACTATACTTCCCTAAAATTAATCGATGCAGTTTAAAACTTCCCCGAAGTGTAAAAATACACTGTCCCTTGTGACCATTACAATCAGAAAATATATTTTTAATATAAAGTTGCATCTCTGATTTAGCCCTTCAAAAAAGAAATGCTAGCTCTTTCCTTGCATACCTAATAAACCCAGTACTGCTGTTGAGGGAGAGTGTGAAGCTCATCAGCAAATCAAGCAAGTTTAACATTAAAACAACTTTTTTTAAAACCTAGCTCCTCAACTTGAATAGTTGTCACAACAAAGAAACATAGAACGAACTAACTAGTTCAATCCGCCACCTACATGCTTAAAATATCCACAGGTGCTCCTTTTGCACGTGTGGTTCTGTTAAATGAATTTAATTTGATTAAAAATACGTCCCTCATAAACTTCTCCAAGTGTTCAAAATCAAGTCTTCCCAGTTCTCACATGTGCATGCAGGTATGTTACCTCCAAGTAATCCAGTATCTTGCTGCTTCAAAATCCAATATCAATTTTACAGACACCAACCCATCCCCTCCTAAGAAAAACATCAGTGAGGCAGTGAATCCATAATCTCTTCCAAAGAAAAAATATTGGGTTTGAGAATTCTCTTGTAAGTTGGACAAATTTCAAGGACGATGGCATAACAAGCATCAATCAAGCATATAGATTCTAGAGGCAATATCCTGGACCAGCCAATCAAATCCCTCGAGCAGACCCTCACCAGTGTATGCGCTACAGCCAACTATCTGCCAATGCCGAGATTTATCCATGGCGTCCAAGTTCAGCACCTACATGATTAGTTCATATTAGAAACATTCGTAACTTAAGTTACTTGTCGGCGGTTTCGGGGTCTTACGATATGAAAAGTTCAAAAATTTATCTCTAACATTTAGTTCCTGTTTTTCCTGAAAATATATAAAATTCAACTTTTGCTAATAATTACAGATACACCAAATAAACCTATTCCTTGATCACTTCAAGTAAACCAGAATCGTCAATTCCTAAAATCAGTTTGTTGAATCTGCTAGGCTGCTTTATATACAGAAATTCAGGAAATTGTACCCAGTTTAAGGAAGAAACACCATATAAAATTAAGCTCACCTTAGCTATTTCTTCAGGTGTAAGGGCACCTTTTATGTCCTGTTTATTTGCTAATATCAGTAAAGATGCTCCAGACAGCCTCTGTTGGATGAACAATAAAAGCATTGTCAACACCGATACTCAATAAACACCCACATGAGTAAAAAAGATAAAAGATTAATCGTGTAATCTTTCCAAATTGGTAAACACCAAGCTACAACAACAGTTTACTTTCTTGATAGAACTAACAACAACAAATCCTTATCCAACCAGATGAGGTCGACAACAAGAATCACATAACTCCGGTCGGTTCAATTAAAGACCATGTGAAGGCAAGAGCTTATGGTGATGGGTTTGGCACTACTACTACAAATAATCCATTGGGGTGGTAAAAGCATTGAACCAAGACCAAAAATCTCAAACATTTACTCAATGCAAAGTATTAACTTCAGACAATATTAGCTCAAAACACCAATAGAAGTATAGAACTTTATGTCAACCAAATAAATAAAGAGTCCAAAAGCATGAATGCATAATATATCTTTAATCATCAATACCAGCAATATATGTATAAAACTTGTTTGTCAATAAGTAAGAAATTTTTGGATTGAACAAACCTCTTCCTTGAGAAGGTTATCCAACTCCAACTTGCAATCATCCAACCTTCTCAGATCTGAACTGTCAACCACCCAAACCAACCCATCTGTTTGCTCAAAGTAATTTCTCCAGTAAGATCTTATTGTTTTCTGCCCCCCAACATCCCATATATTTAGGGTGTACCTACCAATTTCAATTGGAATCATAAGGTAAAATGAAAGCAAAAAATTTGAAGCTACACAGATAAAGAACCTATTATAATGCGATTGAGCGGTGAAAAGGTGAACAGTACTTTTGGTAAGCAATGGTTTTGATGTTGAAGCCAAGCGTGGGACTGATGACGCTAGTGTCCTCTCCGTTTATCTTCAAAACTATTGTAGTTTTCCCCGAATTGTCCAATCCGCTGTATAAAAAGTGAATCCAGATTTTGATCGAAACGTGTTATTGACAAGGAAAATAAAAAGAAATTGGAATTGAAGGAATAACTTACACCATCAAAATTCGCATTTCCTTCTCTTTCCGCTTGATTTTTCTAATGATGCTCAGAAGACCCATTTGGCTCCCAAACACTTCCACTCAACTTCGAACCAAAAATCCGTTTCTTGATCTCTATTTAATTTGACAAGCTAATAAATGTTCCACGTCAGAGTGCTTCTTGTATTCTGTTTCTTTTTCATTGTCAAAATGATAATGCTTTAGGCCAAATTTGAAAAATGATTTATAGCAAGATGCTCTAAAAAAATCACATTTTTTACTTATCATACACACATCTCCCACTATAAAGCAATATATAGTATAGATAAGATACAAAACACAGCCACGAGCTCAAATAAATATATTGGCGTAAAAGTAAATGATAAATACCTTTCTATTTTATTGAGAAAATACCTTGTAAATTGTTAATCAATTAATTTAAAAATATTAATTATTAGTGCTCATTATTTTTGGTTGGAAGAGGAAATTAGTGATCGTTATTTATTCATATGATAAATCACGGCTTTTAATCAAAACAATAAGTATAGTAATAAAATTTAATTGATAATTTGAAGTATGTTTTTTTTTCTTTGTAAAATTGTACTTCTAAATATAACTTACCCAAATACACAGAGTATTTTTCAAAGTAAATTACATGATTAGGGTGCTTTCACAAAAACTGACTTTGTCACGACTGTTGATTTTTTTATTTTTTTAATGAATTGACAAGAGTGTATATGATATGGCTTTGGTGATTCCTTTTAAATTTATTTTTATGAAATCTTTTTTATAAGTATGACTTTTAATTTTGATTATTATTTAAAATTTTCAAAATTGAACATGAATTTTAAAAAAATAATAATTAGGTATAAGTAATTATACATTAAAAATAATTGGAATATTAGACAGTCAATAATATATAAAACAACAAATTTAATTTAATTTATTCAGATAATTAAAATCTGCCCAATCTTGCTACTACATATTAAACAATAAAAGTAGAGGATATATTTGGAAGCACGACTGCATTTTTTTTCTATGAAATTATAATGTGATTAAAATAGGTATTTTCTTAAAAAGGGATCCGTATTTGTTTTTTAAAAAATTACAAAATGACGGTTTTGCCATTTCTTCTTAACAACAAAATATAGAACTAGAGTCTAGTCTTTGAAACAATAATATCATTTGGACATAGATAACAATTTAGCAACTTTAAATAATAATAAAATATTAAACTAAGTTACTTTGAAGGATTATTATACTTTGACACTTACTGTATTTCATATTTCTATTCAATAATCATAAATATTATTTCTATTCCCACTAAAAATTTGACCCAATCTTCGTCCAAAATCCGCTAACTTAAAGTGCCACGCCTAGACTTTATTTTCCAAAAAAAAAGCACGTTATTGAGTTGTGTTGGACTCAAATTTAAGTTTAACAAAACTAAAACAAGAATTCAGGATTTAAACATTAAAATTTGAAGTAAAATAAAACTTATTGAAAACAAAGTTGCTAATACTTTAAATCTAAAACAAAATTCAAATTTTCAGAAGAAAAACGGCTAGCAAACTTGTTCAACAAGCAACATGCAAAGACAGAACCAGAGTAATTTTTTAGACTGTTAATAAATTAACCTCTGAATTTTCCACCCTCGCATCGTCCCATAATATGTCATCCCAAGCATTTTACAGACTACAGGAAAACCAAAATGCAGATAAAAGAAAACAAATTTACAAAATTAATCTTAGTGTCTATAATTCATTTTTAATGTTTAGTGTATATAGCTAATATTATTAGGGATATAAAATGAAAAATCAATTAGCATTACATTTAAAAACTAAATTAACACTTATTTTCAAACTTACGACAACTTCAAAAATGAGGTACGGCAACATGCCACTACATCCCAGAAATATATGAAAATAATCGGTTCAAAAAATTAATGTACACAAGAATTCCCTAGAGACGCTTGTCTGAAATTTCCAGCTCAAAACACCATTGCTGCATTGCAATAATTAATCCGGCTATGCATGGATAAATTTATCTTCACGTCTTGTATGTATGTCGGGAATTAAGACATTCGATTGAAATATATCCTCTATGTATTATGCCATATTGTCCGCTTGCTTCTTTAGCAAGAAGAATTAGGAAATCTTACCTCACTACTGTTCGGCTTGCCCAAGTTGTGGAGGTGGAAGGGAATAATGTACAATGAAGATTAAACATAGATATCAATCTACAGCAACTCCTTTTCCCTCAATAAAGTGGTACTCTTTTGCTCTACAACATTGATCCTGCAATTGACTGATTCCTCCATTCTAACTAATGCAAATTTTCTATCGATATAATTAGCTAGTTACCGAGCAAAATTCTTTCAATATACATATTGATAAGATGACCAAATTAATACTAATCCCTGAGCCTTGGAGGCTTGAGAAAGTATACACTCCTCACAAATCCTTTCCCAATTTCCCCCACTGCTTTTAACACCTTCAAAGGATTATATTCTTCATCAACCACTTCCACGTGCTTTCGCTTCTTTAGAGAAAGAAAAAAATGGTGATCAGAAGATCGATTTGTTGAGATTTGTGAAGAATTCATAACATATAAATGCAAATTTTATACCTTGGAAGAATATGATTCCCCCCATGTTAGGCCAATAATATCACCTCCCAGATAATCATGCCATACTTGGAATGAGGCTGAGAACTCATGCTGCAAGTGATAAATGATATGTATCTAATTAGCGAAGAGGACATATTCAACATAAAATCACTTTCACTGTACTTGCCTTTAAATCTCTGATAAAGCACTTTGATGGATCAAAATCCACCAGCAACTTATTTTTAAGTTCATCTGGCCTGCCCTTCAAATCTTTAGGCAACAAAAAGGGTTGAAAACACTTGCTGGCTTGTCCTTCTGCAACATGTATTCCTGCCAACGTAGCAAGTGAGAATACCATTTGATTAAGCATAACTTGTGAAAGGGAAACGAATAATGTATAAATGTTAAAAGATCAAGCTATCAATAATTACTATTCTTTAACATACTAATTTCTTAGTCTAATGAGTTTGAACCCATGCCATCCTGCATTATAAATGTATCTTTCATGCATAGTACAACATTTTATGTGATTTCATCACACTTGACCAGGCAGAAAAAATGTTGTAACAATCTTGCTACAATTATAACTACCAAACAATTACATAACCCGTAACCCTTCACCATCAAATCATTTAAGAATTGTTTAAACAAGTAAACTACCAGCCACTGATTGTACCATGATTAACTTCTGAAGGGAAGAGAAGTCTTTGGGGATACGGGAGATTGTCCTTGTGGAGAAGAATTACTGCATCATAATTGTTTAAAGGAGTCCTGAAAAGGCACTGCAGCAAAAATGAAAAAACTCAATAACTCCGAAAATATACTCTTCTACAACAAAAAGTTGAAATGAGAAAATAACTTAAAAATTTGCTCCACTCACCTCCCATCGGTATGGACCAAACTCTTCTTGAAATGTGAGTTTTGTCAGCAAATTGGCACTGCTTCGGGCATATGCAACTAACCTTCTCAGTTCCTGGTAAAATCACAAATATTGATGCATAGTCACAAGGCAATCACCGCGGAATAAGCTAACAAACGCTTGAAACAGACGCAACAGAATCCTTAGAGTAAAGTGTTAAAATGCAGTCATGAAGTTTAAAACATCAACAGATCAGAATACTTATGTGTGGAAAACTGAACAATATAGTAAACTGTGACAATTTCCTATACATTCTAAACCCACGCTATAGTTTATTTTGTAAAGCATTATTCCATGAATTATGTGACAACAAAATGGAGGAGTGAGGAATGAAATCAAGAAACTTCAGCGCCTCAAGCTCAATTAATTCCAATTTGAAGAGCAACTAACCATTCCACTAGGTGATAATCCAGTCCAAGCCTCAGATTCTTTATCGTAAACTGTAGCTAAGAACATTGCTTGTCCTACACTTTGTCCACTCTCACCCTGACTTTTTCTTCTTACCAAAAAGTTGTCCTGAAAATCCATGATGAAAAATATTTTCAGAGACTAACATTATCAAGATTTACCTAATCCTGTACTCAGACACACAACTTACATTTATTTCTTTCTCGTCACTTTGGCTCAAGTCATTATTTATGTCAACAACCAATGGAGAGAAAGCCCAATCATAGTTTGAGAGTAATCGCAGGAACCTGTCAAAAAAATCAATAAGCATAAGATCGTATTATAATATATTTTAGTAATTTTCTCGTATGTGAATGCCTAGTCCCGAGAATTTGCTAGAAACCCAAAAATAACTAACGTCTGTGTCAGAAGGAATAGAAAGGTGCCCAATTTAGAGGATCATGACTAAGGGAGAGAAAAAGTAACAAATGAAGTGGTAGAAATGTGGGAGAATAATGTGTACGATCTGTTTGTGGATGGAAACGGCATATGACCTCTGCAAGAGTGTTGAAGTTGTACTTTAGTCGCTGCAGTTCTTTTTTATGCTAAAATACGTTAGGTTTTCAATTTTTAAAGTTGTTTGACTGTTTCAATAAATTTAGGAGTAGGTCCAGATTTTTAGGAAGTTGTTAAACATGGAATCATGTCCCGTGTGTAGTTCCTATTTCTTGTTTTTCATTTAAGTTTGAGTTATATTTAAAGTCTTCACCAATTCAATAAAAGATAGACTTCATGCAGCAATTTATTTGGTTTACTTCCTACGTAACTCATTCCTTCATTTCTTTTAAAACTCCAACAAAGAGACTAGGCTGGAGATTCCAGAGAAAGGTATAATGAATTTCAACCTTCTGTGCAGTCATCTCTTTGGTACCCATTATTTGGACATCCTAACATCATATACCCAGTTCACAAATCCCTTAACAAGCAAATTGATACATTGTCTGCAGTAATGTATTCTACAGAGAATATAGGTTTAAAGGAGATTCTGACTACGGCTTAGTAGACACTCAATGTCTCTGGACAAAATTGGAAGGTTTTGATCTATCATCTTAGACACGAAGGTAGTCCTTTTAAAAGGAAAAAGATTATTAAAGGAGAAAATCATTCAAGAGAAGATTAATATGGTCCTTAACAGTTTAATCAAAGAGATCAGTGCGAGACTGAGTAAGTAATGCAATGTTGAAGCAATCACTGATTAAGTAGTATTCATTTCATCCTGTCAAAATTAATTGGTTGATAAGATGACTAACAATGACTAGGAAACTCACCTCAAAAACCCAGTGATCCGTGAACAGGGAACATCAAATGGCAAAGGATTAAGAAAAAGATATGCAACCAATAGTTCGACAGCCTCTTCTACCATGCAAGCTGAAAATAGATGTGAAGCAGCCCATCGTTTTGCAAGTCTAGACAAATGAAAGGTATACATCAGCTTCAGATTATAAATGTAACATAGCTTGACAAAGAAATTTGCAAATTTTCACCTAGCTACTGGTCCAAATATTGGATAACGACTTTGTAATCCATTGATCATATTAGCATGTTGACTACGGATAAAAAGGTTCTTGTCAATGGAAGAAACTTGCTTAGCCTGAACATCCCCAACTGCATATTAAAATGTTTTGATAAGTTAAATTGAGAAGTGGCCTTTCCAATTAAATCATAATCATATACAAAGGGGAAGTACATACCCAATTAAATCATAATCATATACAATGGTATGATAAGTTAAATTGACAAGTGGCTTTTCCAATTAAATCGTAATCATATACAAAGTGGAAGTACATACCTTCCTTTTTTAGCAAGCTAAGGCCTCTCTCATGCAAAATTTTTAGACGGAAAGCATATCCTGACATTAGTACGTCCACATTATCCTCAGTGGCAGTGCATGTCATCCCCCACTTCTTTTGAAGACTGCCATAAAAATATTATCACATCTTAATAAATATCAAAAAGAATAAGATCCTGAAATGAATAAAGGATCTACACCCTACCTCAATCCAATTTGAAAAAGGAAGCTAGATTTTGTTTTTTCAATTGCAATTTCATCCATTGGCCAGTTCCCAGAGCCTTCCAGCTGTAAAGGACAAAAGAATTTTTTTTTCAATTGTTTGTAAAAACACCAGGACACTGAGCACAACTGGTGCGTTAAGCCATACCTGAATCAGAACTTCCAGTGCTTGAATGCATGATGGAACAAACTTATTCAATCTCAGAGATTCAATTTTTTCATTAGCCAGAAGATGAGGTTCCGGAGGGAACACTGATGTATACCTAAATGCTGAAAATGACAATAAGCAAAGAACATCAGTTGAGCTCAAGCTTAAATGAGATTCAACATTGACTTGAACATCCTTATAATTGCAGTTTTTTCCAGGTTTTAATTAACAATGAAAACATACACCAAAAAGTATTGACACAGATGACTTCAAAAAATTGTACAAGAAAATATGTAGGGATCCTATACTTGAATGAATAAATAAAATATCTGTCTAGGATGGTAAAATACCAGAGTCTAAAGGCAGTACACTGGACACCTTCAATGGAAGGTCTTCAATAAGACGCAAGCGCTTTGATAAAACATCAAATGCCCCAAGCAAACTACCAGCGTGTGATATAGGATCTGTAGGTGAATCATTTCAAAAGCATCACAGCAGTTAACAAGCCAAGCATATGATATGAGACCAGAAAAGAAAGAATTCACAAAGATCATTACCTCCAGCACTGTGAATCAAAGAGAAATCAAGTTGATCCACAACAACTACAATATCTTCCATGGATAGAGAAAGATGTCGACTAAGTACATGCTCCGCTATTCTTTTCAAAATAAGATATCTAGCCCATTGCTCACTTTCCCATACTGTGAAATGTTATAGGGCAAAAGCCACCACCATGTCAGTAGTTGTCAAGATATTTATCTAAGCTAACAATATGAGAAAGTTGTGATGCTCAGAAAATTAAAAAAAAAAAAACGAATCGTAGGAATAAATGACTCACCTGTGCTTTCTGCAATTCTACCATCTTTAAATCTTCGAAGCTCTGCTTTCTCTCCCCAAAACTTTTGAAATTCAAGAGCCTGCTTCAAATAATGGGTGAGCACTGTAATACATGCAGCAACCCAATGTGAAAGCAAAAAGATAAAAAGGATATAAGGAGATGAATATATACCTCTTCTTTACTTTCAGCATTTGGGCCGATATCAACCATCCTATATGCTTTCTCCAAAGTACTCACTGAAATTCCAATGAATAAGGGCTCTTTATCAAATACCGACAAGCCCTGACGTAGTGAATTCAGTTAGAAATAGAACACAAGAGAAAAAGCACGAAAACACATTTTAAATGGGATACTGAAATTCATGCTTGGAATCATACATCGTCCACACTCCACTGGCATTGTGTATTTCTCCATGTAACTTGAATGGCTCTTGCTCTATCATTTAACCCTTTAGATAAAATACCATGTATTTTATCCTCGTATGCTCTCCAGCACTCATCGTCCAAACAAAATCCCAGTGCAAATACCTCCTTCTTTCCCTTAAAATTTATTCTACAAGATCAAAAAGAAGTAATATAAACTTATAGTTCTTCTAACATGAAGCAAGCCATAATGAAATTTACTCAAAGAACAGAGTATCCATTCATAAAATAAAGTGTTTGAATAGACAAGCATCTATAACCCAAAGAAAAGCAAAGGCAGAGGAGAAAAAGGTTAACGAGTCTCCAACGTGTTATAAGGTAGTAAGGATAAGCACAAGCATCAAAATAAGTGCTAAAAGGCTGTTTATTTACATCATTGTGATTAATATATTTTCACGTTCCATATCCATGTTCATATGGACAACATTCGCTGAAAATTGACATTTTCAAATATAAAACCTTATAAACAGATTACACTTACATTTGGTTTAAAGTACCAGATACCACATTTAAAATTCTGCAAAGCAACTATTGCTCCAATTTAAACCCATTTATAACTCTCAATTCAAATACCAAGCATATCCACCTATATCTTGTTGATCTGTGAAGCCTTAATATTTAGTACAACACATACATGACAATTTTTTAAAATTAAGGATTCAATACATTTTAGCTACGGTGATAAAATAAATATAAAAAATGTACATATCCAAAATATTAAAAAATCCAATAATTAAAAACAATCTTTTATCACAATATAACATTTATTATAAATCAAAAATATAACCCTATAAAACCAACTTGTAAATTGAAAGGTGAGGTGTGGTATGTGTATATCATGGTGAGTGACCTTTTAATAAATCAAGGATACACTTTGATACAATCTTACAAAGTGCAGACTTAACTTATAAATATATTTTACACATTTAGTTATTTATGTATTGTAAATCTTGCTAAATAAACAATACATTAACTTTTTAATCAACATTTAGACACCCTTTGGAAAGACAATTATAGTTTTTTAATCAGCAGTTATACTTAAAAACATAAAAGATAAAAATAATCCTATTAAATAAAGGAGTATAAAAATAAAGCACAATCATAAAAGCCCATTTGGATAGAATATAAAACTATTCTTATAATAAAATTATTGGACAAATATTTTTCATTGTATATTTATTATGTAGTCCGGTAGTATTAGGATCATTGGGTTTAAAATTCATGAACCCGTTGACCCAATCCAACCCACAAATTTGGGTTAGGTTGGGCAAGTTCACCACTCAACCCTCTACCTACCAAAGAGGCAAAGCTGCCAATCACTGTTAAGACAAACTAGTATTGAATAAACGTTACCTCATACAATAGTCATACTTAACAGCATAGTCAATCTTGGTCATAAAAACTTCCTCAAATCCACCATCTCTACACTTTTCTAAGCACCTAAGTGTCATAGCAGCCTCTTCTTGAAGCTGAATACAGAAGAAGATCCAAAAACAAATACATAGTCAAATTGAGAACTACAATGTTTATAATATTGAAAAAACAAGTAGGTGTACTTTTCAAAGTACCCGAGTAAAACCAATCCTGGACATTCGGAAAGCTAGATTGAATCCTCCAGATGGATGACATATGAGAATTGGAAATGACTCTCTAAGTTGAATCTTTTGCTGCAAATAGGAGTAGTGAACAAAACATATTACATGAGAAAAGAAACCTCCAGTAAACAATGTAATTCATATAACATGTTGTGCGAGAACCGTTGCAATGTGTTACCAAGACAACAATGAAGGACTGACAATGAATGGAAACGTATCCCAAAATGAAAAGAAAAAGACAGAAGTTACTAATAAAGTTCTTAATAAATGGAGCGAATAAATTTGCCATTCATTCAGGATTAAAACTAAAGTCTAAGCAATTGAAAACATAACAAAGCTGCTTTGGGTCAAAAGCATTACGCTAAATTACCACACTACGATTAGTTTAAAAATTGAAAAAGTAAATAGTAGCTTTTTGTTCAGTTTTTTCAAAGTGCTTTAAAAATAATAATTCGGCCAAATTAGGTTTAACAAACAACCATTAAAACAAAACAAAAAGAATAAAGAATAAATAAAACATGAAATCAAATGATACATAAAATAGAATTACAATAAGTAAAAATAGTTAAAGAAAAAACCAAGCAAAGATCCAGACCTCCTTCGCAATATGGATCTGGCCTTCCTTTGGAAAGTATAACCCTCGGTTCCACGACTCTGAGGTTGCTGCAAAACCACTAGCATTAATAAATACCTATCTGTTGTGCCAATACATATTGAAGCCCCATTCCCAGTCGATGCCTATTTTAAAGTTAGTAGCCAATTGCCTACATGTTCACTAAGAAACTGAAAAGTACATTTTTTATGGGTAATTCCTTTGGATGGAAAATAAAAGGAATAGAATTTGATGATAGAACTCAGAAGCCAAAATATACAGGAGAAAAATAATGATGATAATGCATTGAGAAAACATAAAAGAAAACTCAAACAAGTAACAGTTTTGTTTTCATAACACTAAAAAAAGTAAACGATTTTAGACTCTTAGAAGAGAACTAAACAATGTTTTCCATAGCATTTCATCAAAACACGGATCTGTATCACAAACACGGTATATTACACGGGACTTAATTAATGTAAGTATATACGCATTGACAGCCATAACCACCAACATGAGTAGCTTAACTCTCATAACATACCAATCTTAGCACACTAACATGACAAAGAGAGCTGAACAAAATGAACTGAGATGCAAGGAGAGACTGCACGCATACCAATGAAGTTCAAGGTGACGCGGATTATTTCAGTAGCCTTCATTGAATTGCTAATATGCTGCTTAGAAGCAAGGTATGCCAGTATGACAGAAATCAAAAACCCATTCAGGCAATCATGAACATATACTGAACTTCTTTGCCGGGCCCAAACCTATAAATCAATGAGGACAAGCAATCAATTCAGCGTTCCACTGTGCAATTTTATTCATTGAATCCCAGACATAAACACCCAAAAACAATCAAATATCAAACCTTAAGCAGGATTAAAGCCTCCCTTAGTTCCTTCCATCCAACAAAATACTTGTTCACGAATTCAGCATCCTCTATAAACATGTCTTCCAGAATACTAGAATTGTACTTCGGTGTAGCCTGAAGATCAATCCCTTCAAGACATCAACAATCAATCATCAAAAACTCTGTCAAAAGAAGACACCACAATCTTGGAGAAATAGAATAAAGGTATAGTAAAAACAGACCATTACTCAGGTTATGAATGTTGTTGCGCTTCAGGTTCAACTTCGCTACGCTAAATATAGCCTTCGCGGACGGAATAATTCTTACAAAAAAACCAGGAACTTCAACAAGCTTCGCAGCTGCAATTATTTTCATGGTTAGAATAACCAACATCATTTCAGAGGCTTTAGATTAAATTCTGGGCGGACACGTAATGCAAACCTGGATATACAATGAGCAAGGGTTTTCTGGCTTCATTGTGCATAGTGGACCATTCAACCCTATCAATAGATGAAGACCTCTCCAAATACTTCTTTATCAAACATAAATACAAACACCTCTTGGCATAGTATCTGTAATTTAAATAATCCTTCTCATGGAAGCATTCCTAACAAAAAAATGAAAACAATTGAAAACAGTTATCAAAGTCGAAACACACATCTCGCATTGGCAAATTAAATAAAACATTAATTAATTAATATATAAATTTGGTTATCGCTGTTCTTTTTTCAGATTATTGTACCTTTGGTAACCTGATAATAAGATCAGCATTAACTTCAGGCCTCGCAATACTCTGTGTGGAGTAACTCCCACCAGTCTTGATAAACTCTGGCTTCTTAAACTTAAACTCGACCTTATCGGCGCCAATGTCCGCAACAAACCGCGATGCTAAATCTGCAGTTACCTGCCAATTCACGCGCATTCAGAAGTTTCAGTGCTGAATGCATCGAAAATCATAGCAGAGAGAAAGACGAATAGAATAATAACCTTGAAATCGTTGGGGATTTTGTCTATGGAGGCTTTGATGGCGGAAACGGTATTGTCAACGAGCTTACTGAACTGAGGAGAGTAATCTACGTTGACCTCTTTCAATAGCTCAGACACCTTTAACTCCGTTGATTCCATGGCCATAGTGTCGGCCTCCATGGTCGTGAGTGTTTGTGGAAACGCGGCAGAATGACTAACGGCTTGTTTGGGTTTAGGGTTTATGGAAGAGAGGAGGGACTTAACGTGTTAAGGGGCAAAACTTTCAAAATATTGCTAGTGGGTGGATTAATGTACTCAATTTATTTTTATGAGTAAAACAATCATAATTAATTTTTGGGGTTACTGTGTTAGATAAATAATCCGAAATAATTTAGATTGTATTTTCTGTTTTTATCTTTTAGAAAAAATAATTGTTTGAATATTTTCTATTTGAGAGGACGAATTGTTGATTTTAAATACTTCAATTAATTTTAATCTCACTAACTTCGTAACCCTACAATTTGAATCTTATAGAAAATTTAGTCCAGATTTTATTTTTCAAAATTAAAAAATTTTGATTTAATATCAATATATAATTTAGTTAATTGATACAAATTTGTAAATATTATTTATATTAATTATTTGTCTAAGTAAAAAACTAATAATAATATGTTTTAAAATTAGTTTTGGTGCATATTATTTTAAGAAATACATTAATACTTTTTAATAATATATTAATTATGGATTAAAGGATTTAATATTAAATATCAGAAGATCAAATTTTCAATTAAGATTGTATAAAAAATTGTATATTCAATAAATTATATCACTATAGGGATTTAAGCCTTCTAAAAATAATCTATTCCAGGTCGGGTTTTTTACTAAAAGATTGGATTTTCTCCTTTTGCCTTTCTAGTTTTTACTAAAAAAATGTTTAAATTTAAATCAGTGAATAAAAGTCAACAAAATAATTATGAATAAAATATTTATAATAATCAAGTTACATTAATATGAATATATTATGTTATTTACATGCCATAAATCTTGTCTGTTTAGATTTGATAAGAGATTTGAGAGAGTAAATAGATAAATTTAAAGAGATAGCGAAAGAATTATGGTGTTATTTGAAATAAAAGAAATATAATATAATTTGAGATTAAAATTTATGTATAATATAATATATATATATATATATATGACAAATTTAAATATACATTTTAATGAATAAAATTAGATGATTATCATTTTATCTTTAGAATTGATGTGATATAAATTTAAATATAAATAATAAAAATCATGTTCAAATTGAATTAAAATTTTTATTTTAAATTAAAAAAATATTATTATTGTTATTATTTTATTATAATTATTGTTTATTCTGTTATTTATTTTATTAATATATTATTATTATTATTATTATTTACTCAAATCCCTTTTGCTAAAAAAAGAAAGAAAACAGATCATTGGTTCCGTTTGTAGCTAAAACCCATTGGTTGGTTTCTGTTAAACAATTCACTGGGAATAAAATACAATCCTTTCATTCATTTTTTTTCTTCTCAGATGTACATATTTTATAAGCAATATTAAATGCTTATATTTAAAATAGGAAATAATATAAAAACAGAAAACAACTTAAAACAGAAAACAACTTTAAATATTTAAAACTTATTCCTAATTAAGTGCAACAATAATTTAAATCTAAATTATATCTTCAACACTCCCCCTCAAGTTGGTGCATGAATATCAATCATGCCCAACTTGTTAATGACTTCTTCAAACACCTTTCCTGAAACAGCCTTTGTTAATATATCAGCAAGTTGATCTTCAGACCGAACATGTGGAGTTTGAATTACTTGATTATCTAGCTTTTCCTTAATAAAATGTCTATCCACTTCAACATGTTTGGTTCTATCATGTTGAACCGGGTTATGTGCAATCTCTACCGCAGCCTTGTTGTCACAGAAAAGATTCATCGGTGTTTCATACTTGATTCCCAAATCAGCTAGTACGCTTCTAATCCATAGTAATTCACAAATGCCATATGCCATACCTCTAAATTCAGCTTCAGCACTAGACCTTGCAACTACCTTTTGCTTCTTGCTTCTCCATGTGACTAAGTTGCCTTCTACAAAGGTAAAATACCCTGAAGTTGATTGCCTTGTAGTTTTATCTCCAGCCCAATCTGAATCTGTGTATCCTTCTATGCAGGCTCTATCATTTTTTGAAAATAATAAACCTTTCCCTGGTGAACCTTTGAGGTATCTAAGGATACGATATACTGCTGTCATATGTTCTTCACTAGGAGAATGCATGAACCTACTTACAATGCTCACAGAATACGCAATGTCAGGTCTAGTGTGAGACAAATAAATTAACTTTCCTACTAACCTCTGGTATCTATGCTTATCCGTCTCAATCTGGTCTGAATATACAGCAAGAGAATGATTCACTTCAATTGGAGTATCGGCTGGCTTGCAAGCCAACATTCCAGTCTCAGATAGAAGGTCTAGAATATATTTTCTTTGAGATAGAAAAATACCTTTTTCGGATCTTGCAATTTCTATGCCAAGAAAGTATTTTAGTTGTCCAAGATCCTTCATTTCAAATTCAGCAGCCAATTTCTTCTCAAGTAATTTCATTTCTTCCACATCATCTCCTGTTAACACCATATCATCTACATAGACAATAAGTATGGCCACTTTTCCTTTGTTATGCTTTATAAACAAGGTATGGTCTGAATTACTTTGTTTATACCCAAACTTCTTCATTGCTAACGTGAGTCTTCCAAACCATGCCCTGGGTGATTGTTTAAGGCCATATAAAGCCTTTTTTAATTTGCAGACTACACTTTCTTTTGAAGGGGGTAGTTGTACTCCCGGTGGAACCTCCATGTAGACCTCCTCTTCTAAATCACCATTCAAGAAGGCATTCTTTACATCAAATTGTTTCAGGGGCCAATCTCTATTAGCTGCTATGGAAATTAGAATTCGGATTGTGTTGAGTTTAGCCACTGGAGCAAACGTATCTTGATAGTCTACCCCATATTTTTGTGTGTATCCCTTTGCCACGAGTCTTGCCTTGTATTTATCAATACTTCCATCTGCTTTTAACTTCACAGTGTATACCCATTTGCACCCAATTGTCTTTTTTCCACTTGGTAAAGAAGTTAGTTTCCAAGTTTCATTTTTCTGAAGTGCTTCCATCTCTATGTTCATTGCTTGCTTCCATCTAGGATCTTCTAATGCTTCCTGCACACTGTTAGGAATAGATACAGTGGATAATTGATCAACCGTTAGAGCATATGATTCAGATAATCTATGAGATGATACATAACTGCTAATAGGGTATTTTACTTTCACTCTCGGATCTGGTTCATAAACTGATTTTGGTATACCTTTATTTTGTCGTTCTGATCTTCTGGTTTGTGTATTGTGAGTGTTAGAAGAAGTTGGGATGGAAGAGTTTTCAATAGGGACAGAAGTTACCTCAATAGTAGGTTCGGGATGTGTTTCAGAACTGTCCACATCAGGTGATTCTGGTATGTAAGGTAGACTTGGTGCCTCATTTTGTGAAGAATGACTTGCATTGAGAAGATCTGTACCTGGAAGACCGGTGGAGACTTCAGGAGAAGGATTTTGATTTGGTGGACTCTCCATAATAAGAGAAGATGTTGGAGTAGGAGTCACAGGTAAAGGTAAGCATAATTCTTCTTCTCCAATATGACGAATCTCCCCCTGAGAAGAAGAAGAGGTGACTCCCCCTGAATAGAAAGGTTCAGACTCCCTAAAGGATACTTCAAGTGTTACATGCATTTTGTGAGTTTGAGGGTCAAAGCAACGATATCCTTTTTGGACGTCAGAATAGCCGACAAAGATACATTTTTTAGCACAAGGATCAAGTTTACCACGTAATTTTTTTGGAACATGAACATAGGCAGTGCAACCAAAAACTCGAGGTTCAAGATTCATGACATGTGGAATAGAAAAGAAAGTTTCAAGCTTCTTTTGAGGGGTGAGAAAACCTAAAACACTAGAAGGAGTTCGATTTATAAGATAGGCCGCAGAGAGGACAGCCTCACCCCAATAATGGGAAGGGACATTCATGCCAAATAATGAAGCCCGTACAACCTCCAACAATTGTCTGTTTTTTCTCTCAGCAAGTCCATTTTGTTGAGGTGTATATGTACAAGAAGTTTGATGTTTGATTCCATTAGAGGTGAAGAATTCAGAAAAGGATCCATTCTTATATTCGAGGCCATTATCAGATTGAAAAATTTGTATGGAAGTATTAAATTGTGTTTGAACCATACGGTGAAATTTTTGAAAAACATGGAAGACGTCATTTTTATGTTTAAGCAAAAAAACCCACATCATTCTAGTACACTCATCAATAAAGGAGACATAATAATAAGAATGAGAAAACGAAGGGACTTTAGCAGGGCCCCAAATGTCAGAATGAATGACTTGAAAGGGAATACAACTTTTATTCATACTGGGGTAAAAGGGAATGCGATGGCTTTTAGCCATTTCACAAGTAGAACATTGAAATTTAGAGGAATGACAATTTGAAAATAAATGGGGAAACAATTTTTGAAGATAACCAAAGGAAAGGTGTCCGAGTCTTTTATGCCAAAGCCAAGTAGCAGAATGAGAAGAATCTGGAGTGTTAGTAGCAGATGCTCTGCAATGCAAGTCAGTACCACCCTCAGAGACATCTAAGAAGTAAAGATTACCACGTCTAACACCATAGCCAAGAATCACCTTGGTCTGGACGTCCTGAAAAACACAAAATGTGGGCCAAAAAATCACACTGCAGTTAAGTTGTGATGTAAGTTGACTAACAGATAAAAGATTGAAATCAAGAGAAGGAACGACAAGAACTGAATGAAGAGTGAGAGTTTTTGATAGAGTAATGGTACCCTGACCAGTAATGGAGGCAGAACCACCATTAGCAGTGGTTATGGTGGACTTACTGCATGGGAAACAATGTTGTAACATAGAAGCATCATGAATCATATGATCTGATGCGCCAGTATCAATTATCCAAGTAGAATTCCTAGAGTGAGTAGAGAAAGCAAGAGTTTTACCTAGAATACCTTCATACACAACATTAGCTTGAGGAGAGGGAGATGAGTCACCATCAGAAGAAGAATTGAGGGCTTTGGAGGAGATTTTTCTGCGAGGACGTTTGGTGAAGTCCCACCACGTTGGATAGCCGATGATTTCGTAGCAACGATTCTTGGAGTGACCAGAATCACCACAATGAGAACATAACAAGGGTTTCGCAGAGGAACTATCCTTGCGGTGTTTAGGAGGATAATTGGCCGCAGAAGAATGAGGAACTTGAGATAGTAGAGCTGAGGAATCCGAGGTAGGAGCAGGACGACCCATAGTGATACGTTGTTGATGTTCACGACGGACATAGGCATATGTGCTCTCAAGATCCAATTTTGGGTCTTTACGAAGAATCTCTCCACGAACTTGGTCAAAATCAGAATCCAAGCCGCTAAGAAAGATGTGGACACGTAGACGAGCCATGGAAGAATGCATCTGGACTACGCCATTCACGGTGGTTTCAGAAGAAGACATACGATGATCAATTTCTTGAAATATGGAGAGTAGTTCGTTATAATAAGTAGAGAGGGGACGACCATGTTGTTTGGTGGAGAAAGATCGTTGGTTCAGTTCGAAGAGGCAAGTTTCATCGGATCCATCGTAGAATGTGCGGAGAGCTGCATCCCAAATTTGATGGGCAGATTCAAGGCGGATAAACCGCTGCATCAACGGGGGACTCATGGAATCAATAAGCCAACTTTTCACCCGTTTATTCTCAGTAATCCAGTTATCATAGGTTGGGTCATCAATGGAGGGTTTCGCAGTTGCCCCAGTGAGATACCCCGATTTGTTTCGAGCACCAATACGCATGTCCATTAACTGGGACCAAAGGGGGTAGTTTGAGTCATCAAGAATAACAGTGATGGGAAAAGAAGAATTATCTTGCTGAATGATAATATTGGAAGATGGGTTGGCCATGGTGAAATGAGAAATTTAGGGATTGGAAACAGTGCGGAGATGAAGATAAATATTCCCGGAATTAGAAAACATCTGATACCATGTTAAACAATTCACTGGGAATAAAATACAATCCTTTCATTCATATTTTTTCTTCTCAGATGTACATATTTTATAAGCAATATTAAATGCTTATATTTAAAATAGGAAATAATATAAAAACAGAAAACAACTTAAAACAGAAAACAACTTTAAATATTTAAAACTTATTCCTAATTAAGTGCAACAATAATTTAAATCTAAATTATATCTTCAACAGTTTCTAAAAAAACATGTATACAAATTGGTATTAAACATGGAATCGATTTCACTGTCACAATTGGAATAGATTACATCCTCTTCCACACCATAGACACATAAAACCAATTCTACAAATAAAATAATCGATTCCACCTTTATGCATAATGTTATTTTCAATTAAAATAAATGGTGTTTTAGTAATTCACTTGCGAAGAGTGTATCCCAGATCTCATGCTTCATGCATGAATGGCTTTAATATACTTGCTCGCAAATCATCTTTCTCAAATCCTAGTATATAGATCGAAATTGATTGTCATTAAACAGTATTAATAGGTCAGATTGCCTTACTCTCCAAATATAAAATATATTGCACTAATGGTTAATAAATGGACGTGGCTATCACAAGCCTTATAACTAGACAACTGATGTCCAGATAGAATCACCTTTTTCTATCATAATAAAATATAGACATCTTTATGAAATATATCTGACTTGAGCGTCAGTGTCTTATACAGGTCAACAACCCATTGGAGTGGATCGCGTTCTCAGAGAGGATTGAAGATCAAAAGAGAGCATAGCAAGGAAGGACGATCGACCCTCGGACCAATTCAACCGAAACATTTTGGCGTCCACCGTGGGGCCGAGCGACATCCCCATGAAGCCACGAAGAACCAGACGGCGCTCGGTCTCGACATCGCTACTTCGGATCAACACCAGGTTTTGCAACAAGAGTAAAAAAATCCGTAATAATTCCTAAAGACACGTCTTTTGTTTTAAGAATTTTCAGTAACGTTCAGCCTTACATCCAACCTTGACAGGTTCCAGTTTTCATTATAATTTACAAATTATAATATAGTTGTTCAGGTTCTACCAACTCTTAAATTATAAAATATTATCCACAGCGTTCAATCTTATCAGGTTCTACCAACTCTTAATTTTAAATTATAAAATATCTTGCACAAGAAGGTACATAGTTGCGTTCAACCTTGTCAGAAAAATGGCTTCAGAAATCCCCGCTCAACGCAGGAAGTCAGGAAAATGACTCCTGCCTCAAGCTGCTGGGGTCAGAAAAATGACTTCAGAAATCCCCGCTCAAAGCAGAAAGTCAGAAAAATGACTCATGCCTTAAGCCAATCGGGGGGAAGTAAGAAAAATGGCTTTAGAAAAATGGCTTCAGAAATCCCCGCTCAACGCAGGAAGTCAGAAAAATGGCTTCAAACGCAGGAAGTCAGAAAAATGACTCTTGTCTCAGGACCGCTCGAGGGAAGTCAAAAAAATGGCTTCAGAAATCCTCGCTCAATGTAGGAAGTCAGAGAAATGACTCACGCCTCAAGCCGCTCGGGGGAAGTCAGAAAAATGGCTTCAGAAATTCCCACTCAACGTAGGAAGTCAAAATGATGACTCCTACCTCAAGCGGCTTGAGGGGAAGTCAGAAAAATGGCTTCAGAAATCTCCGCTCAACGTGGAAAGTTCGAAAAAAAACTCTTATCAGTCAACTACTCAACTGGTTCATTATAAAAATAAATATTAATGCGTTTACTTTATTTAAAAGCATATTTTTTGGAGTGAAGATCTCTTGCACAGGAAAAAGTTTCAAAGAGAACACTTAGTATTTTCTATTGAGTCTAAGGAACAGATCCAAAGAGAATTCCTAGAGTTCGTCGCTTAGTACATAGAGCAGACGTAAAGCATCGAAGATAGACTTTCTAAATAGAACGTGAGCGATCTCTTTTAAAGCTCATAATAATCCCTACCCACCTCTTTTAATAAAGAGCTTGCTCAGACTTCATGCTTCATTCATGCATGAATGGCTTTAATATACTTGCTCGCAAATCATCTTCCTCAAGTCCTTTTGTACTATATGAGTATACCGATCGAAATTGATTATCATTAAGCAGGTATTAATAGGTCATATTGCTTTACGCTCTCCAAATATACTGCATTAATGATTAGTTATTGGGTTTGATTACGTAAAATATATTGTTCTAATGGTTAATCAATGGATGTGGCTATCACAAGCCTTATAACTAGACAACTGATGTCCAGGTACAATCACATTTTTCTATCATAATAAAATATAAAGGAAGGACGACCGGCTCTCAAATCAATTCAACCGAAACACCTTTAAAAATCATTAAATCAAAATCATAACCACCTACAAATCCAAACAAAGGTTAAGTATTTTCTTTTAATAACATAACAAATGAAATCGTCTCTCATATTGTTTAAAGACATTGATTTTGATTAACAATATGTATTAAGTGGATATTAGTATAAATAATACACAATTTTTAAAAATATCTGTAATACTATATATATATA